ACGAAGCTGGAACTAGTAAAGTCAACGTAGAGCGAGGTAAGAAACAGCGGAGCCAACGTTTGTCAGCCTTGTAACGTTATCTGGCTAGCTCTTAATATCCATTAGCTGTGATCAAAATCCTGACAAAACACGGGTTGTTTGACACAAACGGACGAGTTTAGTGGCTCCGTCATCTAATATCATCTTGTCCCGGGCCCAGGGAAGGCTGTCAGCTGGCCTGCCCCCTTGTAACCCTTTATCCCTCCTGTTATGTTTGTTTCTGTGGAACAGCAATGATGTGGGTCAGTTTGACCCGTGATGTGTTTTATTATCCAAAAGTGTCAGAAATCAAAAAATCACAATGAACACTGTTTATATCTCATTATTAACTCCATTATTAAACATTTCAATCATATTTAGTGCAATGGTGTTCTTTGTGTCTCACAGAGCATGGTTCAATAAGGAGAATGCACTCGTTGTTCATAAAAAATGAATGTTAAAACTTGTTTAAATGGCTATTGGAAAGACTTACATATAAAATACAATACTTTTACATGACACTGATTTTTTTTTAGAGTTTTATTTTATATTTAAACATTTTTTATTTTTATGTTGTGATGTAGTCCTGTTTTTTCGGCCTGTTGCCTGCCTTGTAGCTTGTGAAAAATTGTCACAGGTTATGTTGTGCCCCCTGAGACCATGTGCCAAATTAGGCACAACCCTTGTACTCTGATTCTTCTCTGGGGCTCCTCCAACCAGCTTTCCAGTATAAACCTGCATGTTGAATGCATAGCTGCTGTTTGCATCACATGCTATCCAGATTTGTATGTTATATTTAGCAGGTTTGGAAGGCATGTATTGCTTAAATGGGCAGCAACCTCTGAATGCCACAAGCCTTTCATCCACTGTGACATTTAGGCCTGGGTTATAGAGTAGTGGAAGTTGCTCTACCCACTTGTCCCACAATCTCTCAATAGCTGCCAGCTTGTCTCTCTCCTGTCTGGCAGCCCTTGTCTCTCGATTATTAAATCTGATTACTCTGGAGAAAATATGACAAGTCTCCAGAGACACTGTGACACGAAATATAGGCCTGCCTGTCTCTGCAGCCCACAGACTGGCTGTTGATTCATCCTTTGACTTGTACACACCAGTCAGGATGAGGACCCATGTCCAGATGTTTATTCACATGCTAAAAGACATCATGAGTAACATATGTATTCAACACCATCGCTGAGCATTTCTACCTTGAAACTGCAGTGTAACAGTGACAGTCTCGAAAACACACATTCAGACATTCAGGGTTTCAAATGTAACAAACTTAAGGAATCAATCCTGTCAGCCTACAGGTTGGGACTTTCTGGTGTGCTCAAGCTGCAGTGATCAGGGATGGGTGGGAAGAAAGGTGAGGACTTCATAGAGCTGCACACTCTAACCCAAACAACAGTGAAAAGTTACACTGAAGTCATTTTAAGGAAGGAAGGGATTATTTGAAAGAAAAATTGCGGATGAAGGATGTAAGTCATCCAGATGTGTTCACAGGCCCTGGAGAAAAAAAAAGAGTTTCAGTATTTATTTAGTCAGAAATGATATTTCACTGTTGTCAGGTGGTCTGAAAGGTCCCACAATCCCTCTTTCTCCAGCTCAGAGACTGACACAAACTGAGAGCGACTGGGTGAGGAGCTGCTGATCTGGGAACTGCAAACTTGCAGCTCTGGAATAGGTTTGATCAGTTTTGAAGTTGTTTTTTTTTAGAACATAGATTTACCATTATGGCCTAAACAAGTCTGAACTGAGGTTCTGATAAATGTCACGCCATGTTGGTAGGAGTCAGAACATGTTCATGTCCAATAGTCACTAAGAACACACCCAACAATTACTGAAAGCATTTTATTATAATTATTACATTTAACAAATTTTATATAGTTATTTACAAAATGTACAGCCAGGAAGTCAGGACTGTAATTACAGAACATCACTATTCAGGAGTGTTTTGTCCTTTTCACACACCTAGAAGAAAGACCAAAGGAGAATAAGTCAATAAATTACATTCAAGTCCAGTGCAGTGTTTTACCTCAAATTTTGCAAAACATTGACTTGTACAGTCATTCACTGATGAAATGGAAGAGGAACTTTGTACTTTTATACTGATTTACTTGATTTGCCATGAGTAAAGCAACAGATATGAAAATTAACAAAATGAATATTTAGTTTTCAGGATGTAATTATAATTCATATGTATGATTGTACGGATTTACAGTTAAATACAACTTATTAACAATAGCAATCAGAATTAAACAGAAGTGCCCAGTGATCATGCATGTACAGCGCCCTCCATAATTATTGGCACCCCTGGTTAAGATGTGTTCTTTAGCTTCTAGTAAATTCAGTTTTTTTCTAAATAATATAGGACCACAATGAAAAAAGAGGAAAATTAAACCTTTAATTCAAGTGCATTTATTCAGTGTGAAAAAATCCCACATTAAAAAATAATTCTTTTATATCAAATCATGTGTGCCACAATTATTAGCACCCTTGATGTTAATACTTTGTACAACCCCCTTTTGCCAGCAATTCATTTGAGTTGAGTTGAAGGTTACATTTTTCTACAATTTTCAGTGTGAGAGTATGCTTCTGCAATAAAAATTGAATCTATTTTAAGGCTTTTAACATGTCTTAACCAGGGGTGCCAATAATTATGGAGGGCGCTGTACATCTGAAAGTCTGAGTCTGGAAGCTCTAGAATGACATTAGACCATAAATCAACATAGTGACAGCCTAATGTTGTTTCACATGCCATTAACAGGAAAGGCAATAAAATGTTTACTATCTTCCGTACCAGGTGAAACTGTATGTCCCCAGAAGAACCAATGCCAGCAGTCCTATCAATGCAGCAGCAGCGAGCGATGAAACTCTCAGAACATACGATGTACCTGGAACAAGGCAATTCTATTTGTAAGTAAGTAAAACTTTCAACATATGCTTGTTTTTGCATTTTTAATCACTTTCTTTTGTCTGATTTCAAATGTATCTGTGGGTAATACCATCTTAAGCATCACGGCACAGGGTGAGTTACCTCTTACTTTAGCCCACAGGACACAGCAACTTTTTAAGGCCTAGGAGAGAAAACATTCAGATAAAGTTCAGTTTCTGATGCAAAACTTTTTTTTTTTATTGGCTAATATGCAGTAGCTCCACCCACAGTCTTCCACTGGCTGACAGCTCGTAGGATGATGTAGTAGTTGGTGCCACTCTCCAGCGGTGTGTTATCGAAGCCTCCATAGAGGAACCCATCTCCTACAGTAAAATTCATGTCGGTCCCAACGCGCTGGATGTTGAACTGGGCAGTGATGTACTCTGCTGGTGGCTTTGTGTTATTTGAGCTGTCTAAGCTCGCAGGAGAGGAGCAGTCAAACATCATGATGCCCTCGACAGGAAGCACAAACACCTGGTACAAACTGCCACATGAAGAACAGAAAGGTCATCTTTGTTTTTAAGGTGTAACATTAAACATTTTAACTTCAGTATAGAATTGCTATCCTGGTTTGTAATGTTAGAGTAGATGGAAACATTTTCTGTACAAACATGGTTCATGCTTAAATGAATCTTATGTTAGAAGCATCAAGGTCTCAGTGACATAACATTCTTCAAACAAGACATTATAACTAATCTGAAAATTACATGGTTAGGTTTATTCATATAACCCATATTATTAGGCAACTTCAATAAGTTGTACTATGCAGTGCACCTCTGTGGAAGCATCTTCATTCATTGTGTTTCTACACTCATCTATTTAGGTCTTACTTTAATTTGTCTCCTGTCTGTAGGTTTATTCTAAAGTTTTGTAGAATTCCACATTTTAATATATGCGTTTTGTATATCAATGTCCATATTTGTTTTCATTTCTAAGCCTATATCACAGATCAGAAATGTCCAACATATAAACATACACATTCAGATCACACAGTTCCCAGTGCCTATTGTCCACCATGCACAAGTCATCCAGTCATGTCGAACATCTTTTAACTGTCCATTGTAGTTGTTACCTTATTGGATCCAGTGTGTTGGGTGATCTACGCAGCCTCAGAGTTGGTAAAGGAGTCTCAAATTCTCTGTAGTAGATGACTGGTGCTACAGGTACTGTTCAATAACATATTTAATGTGCATTGCTCAGATGACTACAACAAAGAAAATGTAGTTATAGCAGTCCTAAATATTTTGAGAAAGTTAAAGTCTTTAGGTTTTACTGTGAACCACTTGATCAAGCTGTGCATTGTTACCTGGTAAACTGGTGTTGGTGGTGATGCTGGCTGTGAATCTGGCTGACGTTGCAGTGATGGAGATGCTGTAGTTTGTGACCGGCAGCAGGTTGAGGCAGAGTTCCAGTTGCTCAGCCTTGGAGCTCAGAAACTGCTTCCTTTTGTCAGTACAGGATCCCTGATAGTCTCTGGAGCCAGTATAAGTCACCTGCAGTGAATAAATCCAATGTGTTAATCATGGCTGCAAAGCTCTGCCAACTATAGCAAAAGAAAGCAAATGATGTCTTGTCTTACCTTGTAAACTTCTGTATCCTCCTCATATTTCTCTGCTTTCCAACGCAGACAGTTTTCATTAAAGATAGATAGGTGATTGATTGGAGGCTGAATTTCTGTAGAGATATGTAAATGAAAATAGTGATGTTGTACCTAAGTGTTGATAAATGTCAAGTGTTATTACAAATGAGTTCAAAATGCAGATCAGTAGGTTATTTAAAGCTGATCAATTGCAAGCCAAGTCCTGAGGGACATATAGAGGCATCATACTCTTTAATTTTGTGGGGTTTATTTCTATAAACGCGCAGAGGATGCCCCCAACTGTTGCCCCTCCCCTTTTATTTGGTTTGCTCACCCACACTACATCAATTAACAGGGACATATTTGATATCTCAAGCCCCAGGAAGACCTTGTCTTTGCAAAAATAGCATCAATTTCCTTTTATTTTTAATATTTTTTGCACAACAGCAGCCTAAACTCACTCTGTCCAAAGTCACAATGACTGCTGGGAATTGGGTCTTGCAGCATTTCATGTTTACAAATGTTACATACATTTCTTAGGTTGAAAATATGTTGTGGTTTTGTTCTAAAAGGAGGGAGCTGTAACAAAATTACAGCCCTCAGATGTTCTGTCATGTCTGCCGGAGCTATGTTCATACTCACCTATGCATGTCAGAGTAGCTTCCTGCCAGACTCCAGAGCTGCTACACACAGACACGTTGCTGCCCCTCCAGCTGTGATGTCCCACCACACAGCGGTGGATCACTACACTTCTGTTATGCCACACCACCTCTGAGTTGGCCAGGAAGGGAACCGGGCCACATTTAGCTAGAAAAATAGTAGCACTCAATGACTGATGACATCAAAAAATAGCACCATTCGTCCCATATACAAAATGTACCACTTGTTCTCTGTGTGCACCCAAAGGAAAACAAACACCTAAAAATAACAGACAAATGCAGGCACAAATAATGCATCTATCACGTGCTGATTCCTAGTGACCATTGCAATCTATTAGTGAAGGAAGTAAAATCATATCTTCCTCAAAACCCAAAATAACCACAGAGCATGCAGGGATGGACACATTTGTCAGCAGAAGATATCAGTAACGTGTACAGATTCACAAACAATGAAGTGCATAACTGCTGTACATAGACTGTTACTCTACCTTTGCACTTCACAGATACTTTCCCCCACTCTCCTGATAGTGAACATGATGAAATATTATTTCCACTCTCCTGGTAAAATCCATCCATACATTCATATATCACAACACTGCCAGGGGTGCTGGTGTGGTCCCACAGGACGTTAGTGTGTGGGTGGGTTAGTGGGGGACCACAGCTTATTTCTGCACACAGATATGAATTAGCACAAACTGTGGGCTATAAAGAAGTGCAGAAAGACACAAATGGCACCATTCAATCTGTTCAATGTTAGCAGAATTGGACATATAAAGGAAATAATTAGCAAACTCTCACTATATTTTATGTTAAATGTATTTTTGTCTCATGAGATAATTATAAACCACAGTAATAGTCTAACTTGAATATACATTACTCCTTAAGTTGTAGTCTAAATAAATGTTCTAAAACTGAAACCAGACTAATCACAATTTTTTTAATTTGTGGTCATCAAACGTTGCACCTTCACACAATAGATCAATATCCTCCCACAGTCCATTCTCTCCACATACTGAGTAGTTTCTCAGGCTGCTGGTGCGATATCCTTCCTCACATTGGTAATGCACCACACTAGCAATGTGTGACGTGCCATCCCATATCATTTTAGCATGGGCTTTAAAAACAGGCTCCCCGCAATTGATTTCTACAAAAAGACAGCAAGTCATTGTAGATCAGTGGCAGCTGGATGTACACTGTCAGCAATGTTAGGACAAATTAGACAATTTATTACTGACACATTCACATATCTTGAAACAAAGTTTAAAACAGATATCTCCAACTCCGGTCCTCATGAGCTACTGTGCTGCAGGTTTTAGACGTTTCCGTACTGCACCACACCTGACTCAAATTAATGGATCATTAACAGACACTGTAGAACTTGACAACAAGCTGTTGGAGATTCATTAATTTGAGTAAGGTGTGCTGCAGTACGGAAACATCTAAAACCTGCAAGACAGTAGCTCATGAGGACCGGAGTTGGAGATCCCTGGTTTAAAATGACTTAAATTGAGTGGTGAGGTAATTCAATATAGATTAATGATAACATCACCTTGACAGAGGAGAGAAGCTTCGTGCCATTCTCCAATGGCAGTACAAACTGAAACATTCCCCCCACCGACATTGACATATCCAGGGTTACACTGATAAACAACCTGAGAGCCCACAGTGGAGAGTTTATCCCACAGCATCACTGAATGAGGGATGGGGAGAGGCTCACCACAGTTGACTTCTAGAGAGATAGAAATTACATCATTTAACAGAGAAAAATCAATGTTGATTCTGAAGAGTATCAGAACCACCTAACAATGTTCTGGAGCCAGATGTTACCTTTGCATGAGATGTCTGCCTTTGACCAGTAACCATTAACTGTGCACAGTGACACACTGTTTCCCTCATTGTGATAAAATCCTGTTTTACAGTAGTAAGTCATTGTGCTTCCAGGGGTGGAGCTGCCATTCCACACTTGCCCAGTGTGGGGCAGAATAGGAGGGTCTCCACATAATATCTCTGAGACAGGAAATGATAGACAATGAATATAATACATTATATTAAAAAACAAAACAAAACAACAACAAAAAAACAAGTTTAATTCCCATATAATGTGGCACCTATTTGACAAAAATGATAGATATTTTACTTTTTACTTGTTATTGCATGAAAAGCACAGGTGTAATCAAATAATAACAACCACTGCTTGAACTTAAAGCCATTATGGAAATTCCTTAAAATGCAATACCATTACTGCTCACCAGGTGTTGCCTCCAAAACATCTCACAACTATAGACTCCCATTCAAAAAGTGTCAATTTATCCCATGAAATACAAAGTTAACAGTTTTTTCCCACATGATGTAAGTAGGTACATTTACTCCTTCTGATCAGTTTGCTGGTGGAAACTAATATGACATAAAAATTAGGCCTTAAAGAAAAGTGTGTTTAGGGGAGGGAATGGGTTGACTGACATGCCTCATCAGTGGTCACTGACAGGTCATTCAAGTAAAGCAGACCATTATTCCTAATAACCTTTTGATCTTAATTACAAGTGTAAAGTCTCCTTCAATACAGTATGATGTTTATCGTTCCTTTTAAAGTAAAATATACCTTTTACATGTTTTAAGGGTGGCTACCTTGTGATTAGCCAGTCACTACGTACGTAGTCACTACAGTGGATTCAAAAAAATAACAAGGGTGCTAACTAAATATCAAACTGGAAGCTCAAAAACGATTATTTAAACAAAGCGGCAGGTGAAGTCTATGGTCTTTCCTTCTGCCCCACCCTGCTTTGTGTCTGAAATGTCTGTAAAACCATTCTGAATTTTTGAGTTCTCCTCCAAAGAAAGTCAATTAGTGATGTTGTTGTTGTCACAGTATACATCCTTATATATAATCATTGGGTGTGTTTGATAACTTTAAAAAATACTGCACTCCATGCAGGTGATCTAGCTTCAATGGACTGTCATTGATTAATGGGACATTTGGTGAAAATGAGCCATTCTTAGCTGTGTTTTGCTGCAGTAACAGGTCAAAATGTCCAAAAAGTCAAAATGTGTGAAGACACCTCTGTGGGTCATATAAAATTAAGTCAGGTAAACTAAATCATGTTCTTGAAACTAGCAACAATGTAAGACATGAAAGAAAACAAAAAAAAATATAACAATTTCCTTCCTTTTTACATTTGAAAAGAAAAAACGTAATTTTATTTACTGGTTGAATTACCTTGACAGGACAGCGTTGGTGGTGTCCACTGACCGTTGTCATTGCAGATGGACTCATTATGCCCTCCGTTGTTATTAAAACCCTCCTTACAGAAATAGAGCACAGTGCTGCCAGGAGTGGAGTTACTATCCCACATCTGCTCAGTGGATTCTATTAAAGGAGGACTTCCACACAAGATCTCTACAAAGAACAACATTCACCATGGCAATGTAAGGTAAACACCAGGATTCAGATTAGTTTGCTTCAGTTTACTTAAAATGACAAACAATTCGACACTACATCTGTGTGCATTATTATGCTTAGTCGTAAAAAAGATAAAAGTCTATAAAAGGATCTGATGGAACAGTGACTGTACCTTGGCAAAGCACAGATGGTCTCTCCCACAGTCCAGCTGCAGTACAGATGGAGACATTTCCCTTTCCAACATTATGATATCCAGAGTTACACTGATAAACCACCTCAGCACCCATGCTTGATCTCTCATTCCACAGCATGTGAGAGTGAGGGAGGGCAGGGGGGGCGCCACAGTCAACCTCTGAGAGCCAAAACAGTGACATCAAACTGTTTTCACTAGAAAACCTCCATGAGCTCTGATTGATGAGTGTCATAGCAACTGTGCGCCTGAAACTCTCAAAAACTCATTGTACGTTGAAAAAACATGAACAAGAACTCATCAGTGCAGATTTTCAGTCCTCTTAAGTGCCTTGTCATTATAGAAAAGATGAAAGTCATTCTTAACATTTATTTAGGTATTACAGAAGAGGGAAATAACATTTTTGTACCAGGTATGAGTGTGTGTGTGTGTCTCCCCTTTATATCAACAACTGTACATCCAGTCTACGTCAAATTTTCCAGGTCCACTCCTGCAGATCTAAGCAAGTGCAGTGACGACGTTGGAGCAGATTGGATTAATAGTGACTGTGTTTCAGGTGTACTCAGCAGGCCTTTGGTTGTCTGTGGGGAGTCTCAATCGGCTATATTCTCATCCCTACTCTCACCCCAACCGGTCGAGGCAAATGATCGCCGTCCTTGAGTCTGGTTCTGTCTGGGAGTTTTTTCCCCTCCCCATTAAAAGATTTATTTATTTAGTTTTTGGTTCCTTCCCAGCACCACTAACTGCTTGCTCATACGGAATTCAAAGACAACTTTGGATTGTTAGGTTTTCTTTTCTCTGTTTAAAATCTGTAAGGACTTCCCCTTACCTTCAACTCAAGTGCTGTGAGATGACGTGTTGTGAATTGGCGCAATATAAATAAACAATTATTGAATGAAATGGGGGCTGCAGGGTGGCGCAGTTGGTAGCACTGTTGCCTCGCAGCGAGAAGGTTGCCGTTTCACGTCCCGGTGGTGGCACCGGAATCTTTCTGCGTGGAGTTTGCATGTTCTCCC